GTCATCAAGCATATCCCTTTAAATAACAACAAATCAAATGTATTATTTTTTCATTAATATTTTTTATTAAATTTTTTAATCATGTTTTAAGAGAAATGTTTCCATCATTCAGTAAGCACTGTAATTAAAATGTTCCAGTGTTTTAAGGTCCAATGTTGTAGTATATATCTTGCTACAATTGTTTGAACAGCATTAGAAACGACATCATTATAGACAATCTACCACAATACTTACAAAACTTCTATAAGCTTGCAAAACACCTATAACATCCATGCACCAATAGTGCGTAACTATAGTTAAAACAAAAATATAATACATGTACAAATTGAATATTATCAAAATACAAATTCAACAGGTGGAAAATTGCACGCCATATGGAGGACACACAACCTTTGTATCCTACAATTTGAGTTTAATAAGAATAACAGTTCCCTTCTACCATGAAACATAATTGTAATTGTTAGATCTACAATGAACTATTGAAATTATGATATTCCATAGTCTTCATATAAAGAAAACTGCAGAACATCTACTGACACTATCAAAATAATATCTACTCAATATTGTACCGGAATAGAACATCTACCACACTAATTAGCATCTCCTAATTATGGTACCAGTGTAGAACATCTACCGTATTAATTAGTATCTACTCAGTACTGTACCAGTGTAGAACATCTACCATATTAATCTGTATCTACTCAGAACTGTACCAGTGTAGAACATCTACCTTATTAATCTGTATCTACTCAGAACTGTACCAGTGTAGAACATCTACCGTATTAATCTGTATCTACTCAGAACTCTACCAGTGTAGAACATCTACCATATTAATCTGTACCTACTCAGAACTCTACCAGTGTAGAACATCTACCGTATCAATTAGTATCTACTCAGTACTGTACCAGTGTAGAACATCTACTGTATTAATTAGTAACTACTCAGTACTGTACCAGTGTAGAACATCTACCGTATCAATTAGTATCTACTCAGTACTGTACTGGTGTAGAACATCTACTCAGTACTGTACTGGTGTAGAACATCTACTCAGTACTGTAACAGTGTAGAACATCTACCATATTAATCTGTATCTACTCAGTACTGTACCAGCATCAGTTGAGAACATTTACCACACTATCAGTATCTACAGTTATGAGGTACAATATTGTAGGCACACAATTGACATCTACCCCATTGTTAAAACTTCAGAAAAAGATTGACGTTACATTTTATATATATATTTCTTTAGGATAATCCCCAATACTTGGTGATTATATGACTAGTATACATATTTTAAACAGAAATGATAAACATGACAACATTATGTAAATGACCTAAGGAACTATTGAGGATGAGAGATGTAGCATGTGACAGTATTTCCTTGTGAGTTAATTGACATGTGCTTGGAAGACATGAGAACCAGATCTTGTTTACAAAGATGAGGGTGCCTGTTGTCATGGACAACAAGATGGAGGTAAACAAGAAAATTAAACATAAATACGACACTCACTAATAATGAAGACAATATTACCAAGTTTTAAACACAAGGTTTTCATTGGTTGTAATAATCTACCAATCAATTTAAAGTTATAGATATTGCTTCAAGGTACGTTCTTTTTCAGTTGCACTGCAGATCTAAATGTGTACTTAGTGTCTAAAGGTAATAAGGTCCCATGATATCACAGCTTTAAGTGATTGTTATTTCTTATATAAATTTTTATAAATATGTTCTTAATTATTCAAAACTGGAGACATGGAATTCACAATGCCACATATTTGTTATATAGACTTATTTCTGAACACAGATCTAAGGCAGTGATAATACAAAACACACTATAAACAAACAGTAGTCATGAGGAAGTGATGATATATAGTTTCAATGTTACCTTTCATCACTGTTTGTGGTAAAGTGAACCTTCAACAGGACAGAGAACATCACTAGTATTAAGATTACCATCTTCAGTATAAAACAGTGGAAAACAGCATTCAACATGATACCTACACTGTGAAAATGACCCCTCTATATCAATAACTTCAGTAAATAAACAAACAAAACACACAAAAACTGATCACATGTCTTTGGGTATTTGATGAAATCCTTAATCCTATTTTATCTCATAATGCTCTAGAAAATAACGGAGAATTGAATTTGTACTGTGGTGATATCTGTATACACCAGATGAAAGGTATTTGATAAAGGTAACAATGAGTGATGTGGTACACACATATTTAAACTACATTGAGGTATTAAGACATTATTTAATAATAATTAAGTATACAAAGTGTAAAAATGAAGATATAAATGAAATGATTGTCAACAACAAAAAAACCCACTAAATATAGACACTGATGAATATGTGTAAGACCTATAAGTCTGTGGTAATATATAAACATGTCCTTTTTCTTATACATACATTCCTACAGAGATCCCCAACCCTAAAACATAGACATATAGATACACAAATTCTACAATTGAGGACACTTTTCTTTGAAAACAAAATTAGTAAATCTTACGTTATTTCCTATAGAAACAGTGATTCACAAATTCTGAATACTCTCCAACAGGAAACAGAAATTCACAAATTCTGAATACTCTCCAACAGGAAACAGAAATTCACAAATTCTGGATACTCTCCCACAGGAAACAGAAATTCACAAATTCTGGATACTCTCCCACAGAAAACAGTGATACAAACTAGCTTGATACTGTATACATACTAATCTTATAAGAAATGGAGGTCTCTCATCGTAAAGGAAATATTGTTAAACCTGATTGCCACATATAGTTACATCCCTCCATATTGGTAACATATGAGTAAATGTTTAAAAAAGAAACATTAAGTATTCTGAGTATTCAGCATTGAAAAATACAACAGAAACAAATTAGAATGGACAATAACACTTGAAGTTTACCTTATCGAATATTTCTTATATAGTGGCAGCAAAATAATGAAAGAATGATTTTTCAGAAGCTTAATATTGACTATGTGATGTTAAGACAAGGTAAACCCTGTAAACACTTGACTTCAATGTATACCCATCATGTACCACATAGAGAAGTGCCATCAGAACGGACTTCTGAAATTGGTTTGCTGTATGACTGGGTATTGTATTTTAACTAAAAATGAAGGTCAATCATTCAGACAAAATGAGTGGAGCTTTCAGGAAATGTAAGGTTCCACAGCTCTAGCATGTTTTGTGCTGAAGTGACTCTATGAAAATAACAGTTTTAATGTTGTATTCGATCCTTGAAAAAAGACATCTGTAACATGCCTTACATTTTAAAAATCAAACAAAGCATAAAAGAAGGAAAGTTACTCCAAATTTAGGAAATATGACACTAAAATAAGTCTTACTGATATATAGTAGTCTACTTATAAATGTCACTTGATTTCATTACCACTCTGGGCGAGAGCGATATATCCGGTGTATCATGATAAGGAATGGTAAATCACACATCTACGGCTACAGAATTCCTGTCATGTTTACTGCCAACATTATAGTAAAGAAATATCACTTAATATACATTTAAAAAATTCAACCTTGTTTCAGAAATTTTATGTCAAAATGGTTTAGAGTATACAGGCTCACTTTCTATATCAAATAAATCATATGAGGAGGACAAGATTTCATTTTTCCTAACTTTACAAAGTCAAATGTCTCATTAGTGTCACTTATTTGGACAAATATGGTAACCATGACGGTTTGTGTATCTGTAGTTAACAGGGTAGGACAAACATGTTGGTGTTTGTATCTGTAGTTAACAGGGCAGGACAAACATGTTGGTGTTTGTATATGTAGTTAACAGGGCAGGACAAACATGTTGGTGTTTGTATCTGTAGTTAACAGGGTAGGACAAACATGCTGGTGTTTGTATCTGTAGTTTACAGGGTAGAACAAACATGTTGGTGTTTGTATCTGTAGTTTACAGGGTAGGACAAACATGTTGGTGTTTGTATCTGTAGTTAACAGGGTAGGACAAACATGCTGGTTTGTGTATCTGTAGTTAACAGGGTAGGACAAACATGCTGGTTTGTGTATCTGTAGTTAACAGGGTAGGACAAACATGTTGGTGTTTGTATCTGTAGTTAACAGGGTAGGACAAACATGCTGGTGTTTGTATCTGTAGTTAACAGGGTAGGACAAACATGTTGGTTTGTGTATCTGTAGTTAACAGGGTAGGACAAACATGTTGGTGTTTGTATCTGTAGTTAACAGGGTAGGACAAACATGATGGTTTGTGTATCTGTAGTTAACAGGGTAGGACAAACATGACAAACATGTTGGTTTGTGTATCTGTAGTTAACAGGGTAGGATAAACATGTTGGTTTGTGTATCTGTAGTTAACAGGGTAGGACAAACATGATGGTTTGTGTATCTGTAGTTAACAGGGTAGGATAAACATGTTGGTTTGTGTATCTGTAGTTAACAGGGTAGGATAAACATGTTGGTTTGTGTATCTGTAGTTAACAGGGTAGGATAAATCGTGGCTATAACATGTATACATTAACTAATTATCAACTCACAACTCCTCTGTTCCTTGATAAGATTTCTCATTGCACACAATAAAATAAGGTCACCTCAGATTCTCACCTCACAATCACTCATCTATAATTATACCACACACCAGCCTCACTCTGACCTCAGTAAACTTGAGTCAATGTCAAGGTCATAACTTTGACCTAAATGTCCAACATTGTAAAGTTCACTATAATGTCTTTATCACACATCATTTTGTAGCAGCCATCTTGATTCAAGATATTGCACCACTCCAAATTGTTCTGAACTCTGTTGACCAAGGTAAATGTGTCCATTGAGAACTTCGCCACGGCAACCAGAACATCACTATGGCAAGTGTCACTTGTAAACTTATTTTTGTTTGGTTAATTGTTATGCTATGAATGCATGATCCAACCAATGAAATTCCCTGTTCCATCTGCCTACTACTGGCTAATGTCAGAATGAAAGCCTTGATGTGTATGGTCCAATATGAAGTAGGTTCACAGCCTTCTAGGTTGATGTGCAAACAAGACTCCCTGATACATGATGCCATTAATCTCCATGCTTACCACGAGAGAATTGTCTATTTCTGTTCGACCATCATCTGTAAATATAAAAACAACAATCTTCTTTAAACACATTTGATCATGAAAGAAATCATCACGAATGACCTGAGGACAGAAAGGGAACATGGCAGTCTATATATTTATACATGTTAACAGAAGATAATTTCAGATACCATTATTTTCTATGAATTATAGTTAATGATAAAAAAAAAAACCAATCTGTGAAAATAGATGGGTTGGTGTTCGAGAATGATGGTTATAGCCAAGGTCACAGATCACATCTACAGACATTTGTTGATACTTGCAGGTGTTTGGAATACATTAAGAAATAATTCACTTTTGTCAAGCCAATGCAACCCCAGGATACATCTATTATTATTACCAAAGGCAGTTTGTCATAGAGTACTTTAATAAAATACTTTTTGAACCACAAAACCTAAAATAATATACATGAACACAGGGGCACCAACACGATTTTATCAGTAGCAAGAACATCAAAACATAAAATCTAATGTCATTTTGTAACATATTTTAGCATTAATTAAATTCCCTCAAAAAAGGTACTATATGAGTTTAATTCTAAAAAGTAAATGTAAACCTGTAGCCTTTGGCATACATATAGATAAATCAAGGTACCACATTCACTTTCCTTGTGATAAAAATCAAATTTATTTATAGGAACTTCTGAGAACAGCAAATTTTTAAAGCAGGAATTTAATTGAAATAGAAGTATTTTGTATGGTGTGATTACATGGTGTAACACTGGCTGCCATCTCCGCCTGCAGGACCATTCTGATAGTGTCATATACATACAGGATGTAAGGTAGATTTTCCCTTACAGAAATGATTTTTACCTAACATATCTTAGGGCACAGCTTGTCACTAGATCTTCTGTATGATGTAATCTCACAAGTGGATCAAAATGTACCATGTAAATTCCACGTATGTTAAAATTGATGTTAGATTAAATGCTGTTCTCGTACACTGAATGTAAATTTTATCATTTTCTCATAAAATGAAAAACGTTGATGCTGTCTGTCACAAAATTTTATCAAATATTTTGCTTTAGTGGTGAAGTACTCAGTAATTCAGGCCAATCACAGGTCGGAGCATGAAATTAAGAAAATGGTTGTTTTCATAAGATTAGATATTCTCTATGTATCGACAGCACTTTCTGACTCTTACAAGTCATGGCAGGAAATGTTTTCACCACTAATAATCAATACATTGATGAATATTTATGAATTAAAAATGTATTATTTAACTATCTCCTATCAAGATCATTTTATAAAGCTTTAATACTTCAATCATGCTAATGCAATCTAATAAAAGCTAACATTTATAAACATCTTAAAAAAAAAGTCTTTGAAGACCAGCCATGATTTAACTTTTTTACCATCTCACAGGAACACTACACATCATAATGTTTCAATATCTTGTCTTTCTACATGTATCAAATTATATAAAAAAAGCTATAAGGTAGAGCTAGTATTCGATTTATATTGCAGACTAACATTTAATTGATTCATATCATGAATTTTTTATAACAACAAATGCTAAATTACAAAGTTTCTACATAAGTCAACACCTTTGATGAAAATCTACAGTTCGTCTATAAAACGAGCTATCCCCTTGACAGAATATCACATCAAAAACAACTCACTCAAGTGAGTCGTTTTTTATAATTCTATAATTTCTTTTAAATTGTGTATAGAAATCACAACAAGTCTATCTGTGGCGAGTCTCTCCGTCTTCCTTTAAAGTATTTAAATAATCTCCAGGTAAATATATAAACCATTTTTCTTCAAAATTAATATCAAGATAATCCTATTATGAAGTGTATAGATCCTACATTTAGCGACACCTGTACAAAAACGAGCCAAGTTGTCGTAATTGTAAGCCAATAAAAAATCCTTAGCACATTAAAGAATGTCATATAACTATTAGAAGATTGCATTTGATCAAAATGAGCAACAAAATTGTATAAAAGGAATTCGATTTGATTGTATGTCACCACAGGAGACACTATTTGGCTTGATATAAAAGCAGTTTATATTCATCTAAGTCAGCAAGCATATGTGTTTCATCAGTCTTGTTTTTTGAAGTTAGTGTAATATCAGTTTTGTGATTTTAATAAAGGCCATTAATTCGGGTATATTAACCTAAATTTTGTAAGAGGTTGTAAAGAGGTAGACACATCAAACTAAAACGTCTCTTAGATCTTACGGATCATTTGTGCGTGATATCTGTGCAGACGAACATGTCTTATCAAAGGACAGAAATTTCAAGGTCCATTTTGTCCATTTAGTACTTGTGTGGTCAAAGAAAACAGCTGACTATCCCTGCCTCCTACTGTCCCTCCCTCCAACAAGTAGGTATCGAAAGGTGTATCATACAATTAAGTCATCTCTTTGGTGAATTCTGTATTTAAAGGAGCATCTGGGAATGAACAGAGTTCATACTGAATATAAATGTTCTGCTGAGAAGTCTGATAGCCATTTAATGTAAATAAGAGATGTTTTTCTTGTATCAGAGATCTAGCTCCATCAATTGGTTCCATCAGATAGGGCGGCTTTATCCAGGTAAAATTTGTCGTGTTCGACACACCTCACGGCTTTTGTAAGGAGACATTCAATGACAAACTGTCAGCGCGGTGATGTCTCTATACAGGATAGCTATGAAAGGGAGGGCATATTCAGGAGCCTTTTACCTGTGTATAGACTTAACTAGGCATGCAATAATATCCTATTCATGAAATTTACACTACACAGAGGTCTATAGTGGACTCTCGGGAGGGGGACGTTTATCACAAATCTTCTAGCAAGTCTCACAAATACACAACACAGAGGTCTATAGTGGACCCTCGGGAGGGGGACGTGTACCACAAATCTTCTAGGAAGTCTCACAAATACACAACACAGAGGTCAGTTGTGGACTCTCGGGAGGGGAACGTGTACCACAAATCTTCTAGCAAGTCTCACAGACTCTGGGGAGGGGGGCGTGTACCACAACTCTTCTAGTCAGTCTCACAAATACACAACACAGAGGTCAGTTGTGGACTCTCGGGAGAGGGGTGTGTACCACAAATCTTCTAGTCAGTCTCACAAACACACAACACAGAGGTCAGTTGTAGATAAGGGAATAAAATTCATCATTTGATGAAATACACAGGCCATACTATTAAGACAAAATGTTGATATAACTATTGAATGGTTGTCAGATTTATTGTCAATATGAATGCAATGTAGATGCTAATGGACATGATTCTATCTATCTGTCACCCGGATTGCCTTCCCATTGACAACAAATAGAATCTGACCACTCTTTAGTGGGTACTTACTTCTGCTGGTAATCTTTATATGTGTGCTTGGCATACTGTTGTGTGAAATTATTCGCTCTTCCTCCGAGGTCATCAGCCTCTTTCTGGGGGGTTCCTCTACCAGCGCGGCAGCCCTCGATGCTTCTTCCATTTTACGAGTGGCATGTTCCATAACCCGTGATGCCGCCTCCATGGCGATAGCATCGCGTTCTGTAAGATGATGTTCTGTGAGACTCCGATGATGGTGGGTTGAAGTGGGAGGCATACTTTCTTCCTCACCACCTGAAAAGACAAGGAATGTTTGAATGGAAAAGAGTTGCATGTTTGATAAATCTTGTCAATGTCTCCTAGCAACAGTGGCACATGTTTGATACATCATAAAATCATTTCTTAGCAATAGTGGCACATGTTTGGTAAATCATAGAATCGTTTCTTAGCAACAGTGGCACATGTTTGATAAATCATAAAATCGGTTCTTAGCAATAGTGGCACATGTTTGGTGAATCATAGGATCGTTTCTTAGCAATAGTGGCACATGTTTGGTGAATCATAGGATCGTTTCTTAGCAATAGTGGCACATGTTTGGTGAATCATAGGATCGTTTCTCAACAATAGTGGCACATGTTTCATAAATTCCAGCATTGTCACCTAGCAAAATAAGACACAGGAACCAATACCTGAGTAAAGTATCATGAAGACCTGTCCTGCTAATGGACAGACATATAGATGGATGGACAGACAGACAGATCAATGGTTAGACAGACAGAGGGTAGGATGGATATTAATTTTTGATGCGAGGCCTTAATATAGAAAAAAAAACAAAAAACCAATAGAATTGTCTAGATGCTCTGAAATTTCATTAAAAATAAACTGAAAAATTGTGTTGCAGCAAACACATATCAGTCAACTTCCGTTTAAAAAGGTGTCTTCATTCAATTAGTGTCATGATTAGAATAAATTAAAGCATCGGTGATTAGATGTTTTATTTAAAGTGTTTGTGTCAAATCTATCAATAGAATTATACAACTGCCATCAAGTGACGGATCAAAATGTCCTAATTAAAATATTGTTATAATAATCAACTACAATGAATGGATTGTTTTAATGTTCATAAGACCCATGTAAGATATTTTACAGAATTAACATAAAACTGAATTATAAGATACTACTAAAGATGATTGTCATCATTAAAATATACAATACAAATAACTGCTGCTAAAATGGTTCTTCAGATAAAAGGTTTTATAGAATTGTTTCCACCCACTCAACACTGTTACAGATAGGTAAAAATTACCATCATCAAAATCCTGAAATTTCCTCCAATTACACAACCCTATCGCATACATAATGTTTTCTTTAGATATCTTTACCTGACAAAATTTTGTGTGGGCGATAAAAAAAAATCAGCTACGTAAAGCACAAATAGAATAACTTAAAAACTTTCATCATCATTTAACCATCTTATATATCTTAAGTCTTAATAAGTATGTAAAATGAAAAGGTACAATAGAAAATAATTAAAATGAAATGTATCGCACAAAAATGGTTGATAACGATTGTAATTTTGTTCTGAACAGGAAGCGGGGTTCAGGCATGAATAATTGTAAAATTATGTCAGTTCATTTTGTAAATATAATCAAGATTTAAAACTAGGTGTGCATCAGCTATCATTAGTGTAGAGAGGGTACCTAATTATCATTTTCTCAAAAGTTCACTGGGTTAATCTTACATCCGGAAAGTCAGGTTTACTGATACATAAGATATACCAGTTAAACTGGATAATATGCTGATATCATTAAAGGGTAAAAGTAGTGATTAATTTGAGGGATGGGTGCCCAATGTACTAGTATGACAGCATAACTAGTCTTGTGTGACGCGATGTTAAATCAACCATGTTTCACATAATGTTTATAAAGTTACTGCCTTCCGAGCCAAATCACTGCCTCGCCCCTTACTAGAGATACCATATACATTTCAATTACTATTTTATATTCCATTGATGTCCTCATTCTAAACAATTAAATTATCATTAGAAAATGATTTCAAAGTGGCATTAGTATTGGTATCGTTAAATAAACCAATTAAATCATGAAACATGATCGTTGGAGACATTGGTACTTGGTTCTCAATCCATCTGTCAATGCAACACTCATAGTTATAAAATCTATAGCCCTTTCTGTTACAGGATAATTTTCTAAATATTTAGACAAATAAATAGCGTAGTGGAGTATCTATTTCATCACATACTGAAATCTGAATCCGATGTGCCCCAAGTGAGCAGCTATGATGGCTTCTAAAGAGGAGCCCCTATTAGTATTCTGTGACCCCAGACGGGGTCAATTGAGGGTTACATTTCATCTGCTACCTCCCCTCCAGACTCAATGTCCCTCCTTCAGTAACTGCCTCTACAATTAATGATCTCAGGTTTTTTTTACACATCTCCAGATCACAGTCAAAAATCAAACCTATTTTCTTCAATTCAGCGCACTAAATGATTGGGGAATCGATCTACGGAATAGCTGTAACGTCCCGCGCGGTGACTGCTCAACAAACACTGCTATTATACTCGCGACAGACCCTGTTTGGCAGCAGCTTAATTGAGAGTGTTAAATGTATAAAGCTATTAAATTAAAGGTCTAAAAATCATTTTCCTGCTTATAACCAACCATCATATTATTTTAACAATCCATTGCCAAGATTTATTTAGCGTATTATAAAGGCTCTCATTACCTGTCATCTAATGCGCTGACACGTGATCTGGGATCTTGGAATACCAGGTGACTTGGCAAAGCCTATGATTTGATACGTTTTTATGACAAAGCATTGGACAGCATAAATAAGATGAAAACAGAGATAACTTCCGCGAGTCGAATGAGCGATCACCTCTAACCATGCGAAATTCTAATTCACACAACTGATATATCCGTTAGATATTTAATGGAGAAACCATTGATATCAGAAATACAGTATTACCAATCTGATCCCAAACAGAAATTAAATACCTATTAGTTTTTGAAAAATGCCATTAAATAATCTAGCTCGGTTCCACCATTAATAATGTAATTATGTTTATTTGGTTACTGTAAATAGAAGGTTTAATTGCGGTCAGTTAAGTACACCAACAGCTTTCCTTGCCTGAGACAGCCACAATCTGATTTGATAGATGAATAAAAAAGATAACCATCTCATATATATTTTTACTAGATTTCGATGTACAAGGTGACTCCATCACCATGGTAGAATTGATTCTAAAATTATCTCTGTCAAAAACCATTTATATCACTTAATTATTTCCAACAGGTACCTACATATTTAATCTGTTGAAGAGAGGTGAATACTTCTGCAGGCTTATAAACAAACAGTAGTGCCAATGTTTTCATGAAAAATTCTCACAAAGGTGATATTTCTTTTCACAATGCCCCCTTTCCTATGCAATCTAGAAACTGAACCTGGTGTCATGATACAATGGGATAAAGAGGAAGCAAATATGTTGAAAAGTTCTCAAGATATGGCAATGATTTATGATTCAGTATGGACAAGGTGCCCCACCCCTCTCTAAAAAATGTGGGGGACATGAAAAATCACATTTTGATGCTCATTTTATCTAGCAAATATGTTGTATTTCAATATCAATATAAATAATTAAAATTATAAAAGTAAGTATTAATGTGTTTTGTGAAATATGTTTATTTCACTTACTACAGAATCTTAATGATTTCCACATTGAGATGACCTGTAAGAATCTCTGAATTCTGTGAAATTTATAACAGACTAAAGGTTAAAGACGGTAATGAATGGTACTTACATAGTTGATGAGCCTGTAATTGCCATAATTTCTGCAAGCTTGTCAGAGGTGATCGACGGTCTGCATTGGAAAAAAATCCAGCTTTCAAAATGAAATTTATTTTGAAATCAGAATGATACCACATTTCACCTGATTAATTAAGATATGTTCAACTAAAGGTCAAATCAGAATCACAACTATATCAGAAAGAAGTTTAGAGTTGGTATATATCTAAAGCCAAATCCAAAATTCTGATAAGGAAAATACGTACCTGATGTGCTGCCTCCAAATTTGCCATTCAATAGATTTCCATTCAAGTGAGGGTGATGAGCTGTTGGGATCAAGGTTGGTCCAGGTGAAAGGTCATAGCCATAACTTGACCTACGACCTTCACGTCTATTTCCATCAATTGCTGCTTGAAGCTCTTGTGGAGAGCTCAATTTAAGCTTTTCACATTCATATGGATATAGGTATTTCATATACCTGTTGATAAAATATAGGTGTGAATACAGGTGTTATGTAAATTTTCATTTTTTATACAAACAGCAAAAAAGTATTTTTGATAAATCTTTTTGTAAGAAGTGAAGTTCCGATATAAACATTTTAACTACAGTACATGTAGGAACAAATTATAACTGATGCTGCTAAGAGCTGTTAGGGTTACAGGGCCCTGAGTTCAGTCTTCAGCCCTACAATACATCGCCTTGCTAACTCAGAAGGGATTCCAAACATCACAATTCTAATGGCATGTTATAGTGCAAACACATATTATTCAAAGATAAAAATATATATTATCAATAAAGGTAAAAAATATTTTAGTAAAAACTGAAAATTGATAAAAGGTCATAAAACCTGAACTATAGACGATACTTACTGAGTTCGAAGTGTGAAAGCTGCACTAGTTATTGATGACGGAAGATTCAGCCCCTTTGTAATCTCCCGCCACAGTTTCTTATTTATGACTTCCACCAAGCCTCCTTTTGAGACAACCAATCGGAAGAGCTCATACAAATCTAGTGTTTGCTTTGCCATGATGGGAATTCTGTTCACTGGTGTTCCTGCAATATATAAATAAAAGCACTTTGATTTAGGTGTAACACGAGACGAAATGCTTGCTTATAGATGTTCTTTTAGAAGTTGTATAATTTAGTCTCTAATACAGTGACTTCTTTGTGATAAAGCTGACAATATGATATCTCTGTTTTGTTGTAATTACTTTGGATTTACATATTTTTCTAGCAGAGGAATTATTTTGCAATATAATTTTAGTGTTGATTTATCATTAATTTCACAAGAGTTGATCTACCGTCTAATTAGTATAGCCAATCCCGAGGCTATAATCCAATGTAAGAATATTTAACAAGCGCTATAAACAGTGTCAGTTTGCAAACTGATTCCATCAAACAGAATAAAGTTTCACTGAAAGGAACTTCCAGTGAAGAGGTCACTGTTGTGTACTAATCTTGATGGGGAAGCTCCCTGAATCAAATGTAATGCAGATTCACATATCAAGATCTAATTGTAACTGACATGGGAATATTTCTCCATTTTCATTTTTATTATCCAAGTCATTGATTTTTCAATCATACCAAGATTTTGTGTTTCAAAACACATAATATTGATATCTGAGACATCACTCATCATCAGTATCAACAGTGTGTAAAAAAACAACACAGTCTTTTCATTTCATCTTGCCTCCATGTTGGTTTATTAAATCAATACACTGTCTCCTATAGTAATTATCCATAGATATTTCTATCTCCTCAAAAACACACATAAAATTGTTCCAGCTTTTCCCTATAACCTACCGTTACTGCTACATTATATTTCCGATTTGTCATCAAAGTAAATCAACAACATCTCGCCATAGACTTGCTGTGTGTTTTTGTTTTTACGTAAGAAGTATATCATTTGATATTCTTAATATGATGATAGCATGACTGGGATCCATATACTTCTACTGATAGATCAGAGATCCTCATAACCCTCCGTACTAAAATATTCATTGTCTTATACTTAATAATCGGTAAATCAGAATCGTTGACAACAACGCCACAACAAAGACAAGATAAACATCACAGCATCACACATCAAACCCAACAGTGATCGTTAAAAATCAAAATTCCACATCCTTACTTCTAATGATGAATTTCATTACTTATTTACAAGTCTTGTGGAGTAGTATCAAAAGTACATAAACTATCAAAGTTGCAGGAAAAATTAAAGTGCTTGATAAAAAAACCCTGTTGGATGAAGTGGAACATTGTCTCTGATAGATGTAGATAAAATGATAATTATTAATTTATACGGGATCAATTTAAGCTGTTATTACAAATCATTTCCACTCCAATCCTGATCTTCTCTCACTAACACTATTATATGATGAACGTTCACAAGGCGGAGACTCCAGTAGAGTACAGGAATTAATAATGTATTTCTGATGAAGGAAATTTTTTGCTGGATAATATGAACTTAATTGGAGGTTTGTTGAGCCAATCTCTCCGTGAAACTCGGTATAATGTTCTGGTGATATTATAGAAAAATCAATTAAACAGTGAAGGAATCTGTAGTGCTACCTTACATCTCGACTACTAACCCAGTTAGGGAGGGGGCGGGAAAGGACGGGGCGTGAACACTGTTTCATTCACATTTATGGACATTGAGAGAGGCCACTCATTTGTTAAGGACAGTCAAGGGAAACTGTTTATTTTAGGATGGCCAGAGGTGGAGGCAGGACAAAAAAAAAGGAAGAAAAAGAGGATGACCAGAGGGAAAGAAACTGGTGTTTTGGATGCCTCTGGGAAAAAAAATGGAAGGCTTAGATGGGGAATGAAAGATTGTGAGATCAGGGGCTGGAAAGTGTATGTAGGATACATGACTGTTTCTTAAGTTGAGGGTTTGAAATAGTCCAACAAAGAAATATGTTTTGTAGTTGTGGTTGCAAAGCTATGAGAGGGTGGGACACAAATTAATTACATATGTAATGATAAAGGGACATCATTCCATGACATGTTATACTCGATTATTCTGACCAATCACCAAGCTGATTTTATAATAGAAAATTCTGGTGGATTTCATTAATCGATGACAGTGACTCTGTATTTTGTGTGAGAATGGCTGCATTATCTCCACAATATGATTAACAAAATAAACATTGATTTCTGAGTACTGATTGCTCAATTAACTCAAACTAATCAATAATATTCACAATGATAGCTATTCTTTTCACATGAATCCACATTTATTCATCAATATCCTGAATCCAATCTATGTAGTTTAACTTGATCTCCAAGTCATGTGATTACCAGAATCTCAATGACCAATCAAAGAGCACTAAGGTTGTCACCTAATAAATAACCACACGTGCCCTAAACATCCCTTGTACGGCTACAATCAAGCTTTTTGTTTTGTATTGTACCAGCAACAACAGGTCAGCAGTCAGTCGCGACCCAATATAGCCTTGTCACTCTCAATTTGATTACAACACTTCTATCAACGTTGTTGTGAATAAAAATGATTAAGAATCAAACTGTATACAGGTACATTTACAGTGTCACACGCAGAGGGAGATATTAATATTTTACACATTTCATAATTACTCATTACCAAGAAGACATATTTTCTTTGACAATGCATAACTTAATCATTGACCTGGCTAATTAATTACTATTCTAATAGAAGTATTGTAGTGCTGTGTTACAGCAGAATGATTAATTAGCCACAGATATTTGATGTATTCAAGAGGAGACAACTCTATGGCAAAAAAAAATCATATAGTTGTGTGAAGGTAAAATTCATTTAATCTCCAAACCAGATAAGTATACAGATATTATAAGAAGTCTTTGTATTATTAAAGCTAGAAGGATGATATATTGTACAATCATCAATTTTTGTGGAGTGTTTAAGTTCATATGTCCGCACACTGTGATGGTTGATATAAACAGATTTATTAAGTTATATCTATTCACGAAATCAAGTAAGTGTTTATAGTCATTCTAAGAAAAACACTATTTAATTGATTTTTCTCCCTGAAGAATTTCTGTGACATTGGTGCATGGTGAAACTTTGTGCTTGTTTGTAAAGTCTCCACCCCCATGGCCTCTTAAAACCACCACAAGAAATCACACTGTAACTTTTTTCTCATTAAGTTTTCGAAAATTGTTGTTCAGTTTACAAATTTATTGACAGTAAAAGTTGTATTTTTTTAAACATGTTATCAGTGCACAATATCATGTCTATGAGTCTGACAGTCTTATCTGACATGCTGATCGCTTCCATGGAAATTTTAACTCTTTGTCCAAAGCCACCCCTTACTACCAACCCTTGTCATGAGCTCATGCCATTAGCAAACTTTTGACCTCTTGTTTAATTCCAGTTTAACTGTAAATAAAAGAGAACTTGTATAATTAGATCCCAATCAGATTAATAAAACTTGATAAACATCTTGTTTATAACACAGTAGAAATTTTACATTCATTGAAACCTTTCCCCCTGACCTAATCCATTGAGAGGTCTTCAAGTAGAATTTCAATTAATCAAAACATTCTGATCATATAAGCTGAAAAGGCATTAATCGTTCACTGTGGTAAGAGATTGGAGAGGATAAGATTGAGGTTAAAATAAAGAATGGACACAGCGTTTATGTGTGAGACGTTTATTTATCATCACTGGAACACAGGTTATTGAGTACAAAATGCAGACCAATTAATCACAAATAGATGTTATATCAATTCTTTTTCTAAAAAATACATACATTTAGGAAATGTATATCTGAATTTACTTGTTAGTTTTTTTTAATTTCCTATGATTATCGTTAATAAACTTTATGTCTACAGAAAAGTAATTTGTATTAAATGTGGGTGGTCTTTGATGATATGGTGTAATTGAGAATATCCTGTACATAGATACTTTCAACATTCTTATGATGTAACTACTTACTGTATGTCATGACCAATCATCACACAATTCTTACATAGAAATCACTCTGATTACAGCTCAAACACTGATCTTCCCCTTCAGGTTCTTCAGTCCTGATCAAACCATATATCTTGCCTAATGAAGACCTGGTAAAAACTAGGTTATTGTTTCTAGATTCCCAGTCAAAACTAGGTTATTGTTTCTAGATTCCCAGTCAAAACTAGGTTATTGTTTCTAGATTCCCAGTCAAAACTAGGTTATTGCTTCTAGATTCCCAGTCAAATCTAGGTTATTACCTCTAGATTCCCAGTCAAAACTAGGTTATTGTTTCTAGATTCCTAGTCAAAACTAGGTTATTACTTCTAGATTCCCAGTCAAAACTAGGTTATCACTTCTAGATTCCCAGTCAAAACTAGGTTATTGTTTCTAGATTCCCAGTCAAAACTAGGTTATCACTTCTAGATTCCCAGTCAAAACTAGGTTATTACTTCTAGATTCCCAGTCAAAACTAGGTTATTGCTTCTAGATTCCCAGTCAAAACTAGGTTATTGTTTCTAGATTCCCAGTCAAAACTAGGTTATTGTTTCTAGAATCCCTGGTTAAAACCCTTGTTAGCCTTTGTATTAGGTTTTTCCTAAAACACTACTCAAACCTAGCTTAATGTTCCTAGAGGCTTTTGCCTAACTTGACTTCTGGGGGAACTTTTCAGACAAAATAATGAAGCATGATCAATATACCAGCTTCCTATAAACCAAAAACATGTGGTACTTACATGTAAAATATTCAAATTTATTTTGAAGTTTTGTCATAAAGTGACGGGTATATTGTTTACATATTACTGTTAATGCCATTTTCTGGGTAGGCTTGATCCAAATATACATACTGATACTTGATCTGCACAGATTAACTTTATCAAAATAAATTAACCATGTCAGTTAATGCAGCGAGGATATAAAGTTAAATAAACAAAACAGGGCACTTTCCAATCAGTCACTGGACCCTTCTCCCTTGGCGGCATGTTTGCTTTTCAGCAACTTAAGTTATTAAGTCCCTCTGGGCCCAATGATAACAGACCAGGAGGGACAAGCTGTATCAAAATGTCAGCTCGGAGAGGAATTACCACCGTAAGTCGACTAGAATT